GCTCGGTTTCTCATGCTATGCTTCCCAAACATTATGCAACAACAATCAAAGATGATAAATTTCTTTTTCAAGATTTCAGATAGTTCTTGCCATCAAAGAATGAGTAGCACGAGAAACATTTTTTTTAATCCTTCAGTCGTCATTATAGGTTTACATGCATCGTACTATTCTTGTACCAATTTTAGACAAAGATGAGACTCAACACAAAACACTCTTTTTAGTATTTATTTGAAAATTTTAAATTTTATGATTTTTTCAAACTTTTTATTATGGATGATGAGATTATTGAAAATACAAATCACAATGATTCTTTGTCAAAACACATGAAAACAAACAAATATACCCCCTACTTGAATTGGACATTGTCCTCAATGGACGAAAATATAGGGAGTAAGGATTCGAACTGTTACCATTTTCCTTGTCATGGGATGTAGTGGCATGATGTACAGTGATTGTGGTTCCACTTGACGAGTTCTTTGGTCGATGTTTCGTGACGGGTTTTATTCTTGAAATTGAAAAACTCAAAGAAATATAAAATAAAAGAAAGGGAAGGATAATGCAAACCGAGAATTGGGTTTCCTCCCAATAAGCGCTTCTTTAACGTCGCGCTAGCTGGACGTCATTTTATTGTGCTAGGGGCTCAAAATTGGATATGGGACCAGCTCATAATTTTCTCCAGAGTTATTGTGAGTGAGCTCCCTTTTCCTTAGTTTCGGCCGCCATTCGTCTTTCATCTTTACTTTCGGCAGCATGAGTCGCATGGTTGGTGATGCAGGCGTGTTTTCCTTAACCTGCAACATAGATGACTCCACGAATTTCTTGCACATGTAGTGAGATATAGCATTAACACTCGCGAGATTGCGAGTATCATTCACATAATCTTTGGATTTGTGGGAAAAATGCTCATGAGGGAACACCACAAAATCGTTAGTAGATTTGTTGGTTGAATTAAGCATGGATTTATCAAAAGGTATTTTTGAAGTATAATTCTCATCAGTGGATGGGTTGGTTCAAACATGTTAATGGTGAATTCTTGATCTTCCATTCACAAAATTATTTTATTTTCAGGAACATCTATCAAAGTTCTAGAGGTTGATAGAAATGGACGACCAAGAATAACAGATAATTCACTTTCTTCTTCCATATCCAAAATCACAAAATCAATAGGGAAGAGGAAAGGTCCCACTATGACCAACACATCTTCGACAATTCCTTTAGGAATAACCACAGATTTATCCGTTAGTTGTAAGCGCATGCAAGTTGGTTGAGGTTTTCCTAACCCTAAATTTTTAAAGAGCTTATAGGACATGACATTAATACTTGTTCCTAAGTCGGCCAAAGCATTAGAGTTATAAAGTTACCAAATTGACATGGAATGGTGAAGCTGCCAGGATCCTTCCTTTTTTGTGGTAGGCTGTTTTGGACGATGGCAGCTAGGGGTGGAAATCGCTACTGTATCTGTATCCCAATACCAAATACCGAAATCTCGAATACCGAATTACACCCTAAAGTCAATCTCAATCTCAATCCCTAAATAATTTCGGTATCCCAATCCCAATTCCTAAATATTTCGGTATCCTAATCGGTACTTCGGTATCCTAATCGGTATTATCGAATAAAAAATTAATTACCTTTGTAATTAATAATTAAATATATAAATTAGATTTTATTGTTTAATTTTGGGGGAAAAGACTAAGCAAAGAGTCTTGAATTAGGATATTATTCAGGAGAATGGAGGAGAGGAGACATCTCAAGTTCTTGTCATTGGTAATCATTAATTTGACAAATTCGAGGTTGTGAGACGACTATTATTAGTGATGGAATGATCTATGTATAATTAAATGACACTCTTGGTGCTTGAAGATCGTGTAGTAGTGAATGAGAGTCTTCAAGATTTACCCCCAGTAAGTTTTCTAGGTGATTCATATGCAACTACATTCGAGCCAATCAACAATAGAGACTCCTCTATGCTGTCCAGACTGCATCCCCACGACCTGCACTATCCCCTCAACTTCTCTACCTGGGCTAACTGAGAAACCTCTCTTCGCCTCCATACCTGCTTCATTGGCTTACCCCCACAGTCGCAAGAGCCAAACAGAACACACTTAGAGCAAATCTCAGGAGAGTGACAGTAATTGACCCCCACCCGAATTGGGGAACCCTCATCCGGATGCAACATTACAGGATCCGGAGACACTCATCCGAAAGCAATTCCACCAAGACCCTAGCATATACCATTCGAGCACCTCATCTAGTAGTGTGATCAACCCCCAAAGGAGTGCCGACCCAGCTTGCAATGCGACTAAGCCCCGAAGAATTGATGTATTCCAGCGGGATATTTGTGAGACGCATCCAGATCGGAAGCGCTCTGCGACCCAAATCCTCTGCACTGATTCCAGGGACCCAGGGTCGAAGATAAAGCATATTCTCATAATAGAACCACGACCCATTGTTCAGAATCCAGTCACACGTAGCTTGAGAGGCAGTTGGATCAAAATCAGCTGATCAGTCAACAGCGAAACCCTAACAATGCCATCCCGCCCCCAAATACGATTTGCCCATCTACGCAAAACCATCAGAGAAGGAGGAAATTGGAGAAATTGACCCACCAGACAGTGCTTCCAGCGTGCCGCTCCCGCCTCCTTCAACTCTTTCGGCATGCGAAGCCTTCCATTTACCACTTCAGGCTTCACATAGCAAAGACGATTCTCTTTTGGAATTCCAAACAGCTGCACCCATGGTCTAGAGGGCTGACCCTCATCACCGATGAGCTCGACGCACCACTCATCAAAGCAGATAGGGAAAGACGCGCCGACGTAGATGCTGGTGCAATCCAATAGGATCGGCGACGCTCGAAACCTAAAGGATCGAACAGAGCGAAAATAATTTTTCTCACTAGGCTTCTTTCTTTTATTTATAGAATTTATTCATTATTTTATATAGGTAGTAGTAATTAATGAAGATGGATATTTTGATCTAAATTTTTTAATTTGGAAATTTTTTGGTTTCTAATTATAACATTATCAATGTAGAAAACACAATAGTTGATGAAGAAATCATATGCAAAACTACCCCATGTAACTCAGATAAATTACCAAAAATATATTTTTCTATCCAAGTTTAGCATGATTTTCTTTTAATTTCGTTTTATCTCCTACTTTTTTTTAACAAAAGTTAATCATATTGATTGATAGAAAGATAAGTAATTACACCCTGAAACCAATACAGGAACAAAAAGCAAATATACGATACGAGGTCAGAAGTAAAGAATTGGTGTTCCGAACCACAAAATGAGCTATCCTATTTCTTAGTTAACTAACCTGTAGTAAATTATTTTACGGTTAGTTCTTTCTTTCTTGCTCAAGTTTTCGTTCTTTAAAATTATATATGTAGTACAAATTCAAAGAGGTTATGGAGTCCTTTTTTTTTTATCTTGATGGAGAGGGTAAAAATGAGATAATTTAAAGTAGGGGTGGAAATTGGGGTGGATGTGGTTACCCACCCCACATTTTGCGGGTACCCACACCCACAAATTTACAATTATGCTACCCATAACCCGCACCGCAGTGGTTAGTGGGTAACCACTACCCGCTGTGGGTTTGTGCGGGTTGGGTGTGGTTATCCGTGAAAATCCATCTTTGCAAGCATAGAGTTCTAGTCGCCACTAACGTATTTGTTGTTCGTAACTAAACTATAGTGCTATACACTTGTGTTGTTTCGTGGAGATACAATTTTGTACATCGATCTTACTCAACTTGAAGATTTTTTCTTTTTGAGTTTGGTATTCAACTTTTGTGTCAGAGATCTGTGATTTCATATTCCCCGACTAGGGGTGAAATATGACAATTAAATATGATCTTGTATTTTTTTCACACAAAAGCAAAAACATACTGATAAAAGTTACAAAAGGTGTTCACTTTTAATGAATTGATTATTCTCCACTCTATCGATTATAGTGTTTTATAAACTAAAAAATTCTTACATAAAACTGATTAGGTGTGTCTTTTTTATTTGGTGGCTACTTTAATTTTTATCCTCACAATTTTCACATACTATTATATTATAAAGTTAATTTAATAAATAAATATATTTAGTGTGGTTATTGTGGATTTTGTGGGTTAACCGCGGTGGGTAGTGGATAACCACTAACCACAAAAATCATTATTTTACTACCCACACCCAACCCACTACTCACAATAAGCGCGTATTGGTGCGGTTTGCGGATTATCCACAACCCGCAACCCAAAATTCCACCCCTAATTTAAAGGGTACAAAGGGCGTAGCCGCGTAGGAACGGATACGGAGGTGTGCCGCAGACGCGAGAAGGGGCTAGGTCCGAAGTCCCCTATGGGGCAATGCCGGTCAGATGTGCTAATGGGGGCTCTGTAAGATTTGACACTCCTTGTCTATTTGTTAGTCAAATTTGATTCTAAAAAAAAATTCATTTTAGCGTTTTGACCTTGCCATTAAAGCTTTTTTTTTTTAATTTTCGTCACCTTGACTCTAGCATTAGAGATAATTTTACAAATCCCAAGTTGCTCTATCTCTTATTTAAGTTATTTATTTATTTTCTTCTTCCCTTGGAATGCATACAATACAAGAAAGATACAACAAACTATTCAAAGCCATAAAAAAAGAAAAACAGAAAACATGTAGAGAGAGTCTACAATCTTAGCCCAATTAAATACACATTTCTATTCCAATTGCTATACCACCTTATTTGCTCCCGATAAGTTTGTGGACTTTCCACTTGTTTCCTTTGTTACTATAAATAGCCTTGAGTTTCTATATGTTGATGTTGTGCATTCCAACTTCTTTGCTCCAAAGTCCAATTAGGTGTTCTCCCACTAACAGCCACAATAACAATGAGTCCAAATAACTTGGTGTTGTCATTAATTTTATTAGTTTCCCTTTTCTTGGAAGGATAAGTAGCAGCTAGCAAGCTGCAAGTCTCACCACATTTCTTTCTCTTCCAAAAATATAGTTCATTGATCATCGTAATGGGTTTTAATCTTTATAGTCTGTCTCTGGTGAACCAAACTAGTTCTATCGTCCTTCATCATAATCTTCTTTCAAAATCAACTCGTCACATAAATCGGGAGGTAGTCAGTACTCATACATCGGCTCATATTTCAGGGGTTCAAACACGACGCTCTGCCAATTACAAGCCAACAATATGGAGTTACGAATTTCTCCAGTCCTTCAAGGTCAACAACATAAGTGAAGTAAGTGCAATAGTTCTTCTCAACTTTTATTTTTAATTTCGATTGAATTTCGCATTGGGGATATGCATTGACAACACTTGTAGAGTTTTGTGGGAGAATAGAATTAAAACATAATTTTGCATTATTCAATTTTGTTTAGGAGACTAAGTCGACCGGTTTTTACCAACTATATAATGGTGGGTTTTTTTTTATGAAGTGTGTGTGATGAATGGTGCGCAAAAGTGAAGAGACAGAGAGTGAAATAAAAGAAAACGTGGGAGAGAGAGAGAGAGAGAGAGAGAGAGAGAGAGAGGTGCAGGCTAGTTATAAAATTAAAAGAGGATTCTTAACTTTACACAATTTTAATTTAATCCACCAAGTTTTATAAATATTATCAGAGCATATCTGATTCTTAGGTTACAATTTCCTCTTTTTTTTTTTAGTAAGAGCTACTAATTCATGGGAATTTTCAGGGTCAAGTGCACAAAGGAATGGTCGTGATGCTGGAGAGAGAGATCAAAATGATTGTGAATAGTGATATAAAGGAGGAGAATTCATTATCTATGCTAGAGTTGATTGATGATATCCAGAGATTATGCTTGACCCACCGATTTGAGACTGATATACAAAAAGCTCTTGACAAGTTTGCATGTTTCGAAAAATGTTATCCCGTGAAAAATATGTCCCTCCACACGGTCGCTCTTCACTTCAGGCTTCTTAGGCAAAATGCTTATGTCATCTCACAAGGTATTATAATTTTGGATTTTTTTTTTATCTTAGTTATATAAGAAAAGTATGATAATGGTATAATGCTTAACCAATGTAAGGTTTTTTTTAAAAAAAAATATCTATAACATTTTTTGTTGAAATTAAAACAAATTGGTTTGGGTTGGGATGTGTTATCCAGATGTGTTCAGGAAATTTATGAGTGATAGAGGTGAAATCATCATAAAAGAATGTTGCACCGGGCATGAGGATTTGAAAGATATATTAAGTTTGTATGAAGCATCACATCTTGCCTATGAAGGTGAAGACATTTTGGATAAGGCTAAGAAACATACAACTGAATACCTCGACAACGTCTTGTTGGAAATGGACTCTAGTGATAATTATGAGGACATGAAAGAACTTATTCGACACTCTCTAGATATTCCATTGCATAGGAGAATGTTGATGCTAGAAGCAAGATGGTACATTGAATTATGCAAGAAGAAGGAAGGAACAAACTTGACATTGCTTGAACTAGCCAAGTTAGAGTTCAACATGGCTCAATCAGTACTCCAACAAGACCTGAAGAACACATCATGGTAATGGAATTTTCCATTTTTCTAAGTCAAATAGGTGTGTTGATTCAGTGATGAGCTCACGATAATTTGATTGTCATACTTGCTATCATTGAGATCTCTCTTCATAAGTTATTTTCATCGTTCCTCATAATTGATCAAATGTGGATTTTTCAAAGTTATCAGAGATAGTTACATGCCAAATTATATGAAAATATGTTGATAGTGTTGCAATGGTAGTCGTTTTGACGATTAATTAACATTTGCTTAAAAAATTTAATTTGAAGGTGGTGGAACAATCTGGGGTTAGCAAAAGAGTTGAGTTTCAGCAGAGACAGATTGGTGGAATGCTTTTTCTGGTCAGTTTCACTGATGTTCGAGCCTCAATTCAGCTCATATCGTCGAGGGTTAACAAAAGTTTCCTCATTCATCACAACAATTGATGATATTTATGACATTTATGGGACAATGAACGAGTTAGAGTTATTTACCGATGCAGTGGAGAGGTAATATTTATTTCCTCGAGAAAAATATATAACATCTACTCTGAAATACGCATTATGTCCATTGAAGTTGAATCTACAACAAATAATCGTGAATATTTATTTCGTATTCATAAAAATATGAGATTTATTTTACTAACATGTAGAGAAGTTTTAGAAATATTCAAATAATTATTTGGGTATGTTTCAGGTGGGACATTAATTCTATTCAGAGCTTACCGAACTACATGAAGATATGCTTCTTAGCTTTGTACAACACCATTAACGAAATGGCATATGAATTTCTAAGAAAACATGGATACAACATCATCCCCAATTTGGCCAAATTGGTATGATTAATTGGACCAGATCCCATACCTTGTTCGCTTATTATAACTCGCTAATAAGTGATGTGATTTTTTGTTGTTTTAGTGGGCCGATATGTTGAAGGCATTCTTGAAAGAAGCAAGATGGAGCCATAATGAGTATGCCCCGCCAACATTCTCTGAATACTTAGACAATGCATGGAGATCTGTCTCAGGAGCAGTCATTCTTGTCCATACTTGCTATCTTTTAGATGGTGATGAACATTTGAATGACTTCGATTCCACGAAGAAGACACTATTGCAATTAATGAGCAATGATAGAATTCTTCAATGGCCATCAATCATTTTTCGCCTTTGCAACGATCTGGCAACCTCTTCGGTAAGATCATCGTACTAATTACTAATACATTATTTTGTGGGAAAATACAACTTAGCTTGAAAATCTAGACAATGTTATTGGAAAGACTTGAACAATTTGGAGAGATAGAATTTGATTAAACTCGAGTCCGTCTTTAACAATTTCTAAGATCCAAATGATGTGAATAATTTGACTCTCATCCCCTGTAGTTTAGAAATCAAACTCTCACCCACTTTCGTGCAACTAAAGTAATATTGGTAAGTGAGGTGTATGATGTGTATCTATTCATTCTACTTGTAGACAAATCATTAAGAGAGCTTTAGATTTCATTATTAAGTATCATCATAATCATGAGAGATCTTATGGTTCTATATATGTATATCAACCCAATCAACACCTTATGACTATGGGTGTAGTACCCGACTTAGAGATTTATCCCACAAGGACTAGAGCCAAACATACAAAAAAGTGATCAAGATTTGTGTAATATATTAGACAAAATATAACAAAGATGGTAGATACTTACATAGAAAACTTTAATTTTTTAGTATCAATATAAAAAGTTTCAAATCTAAGGACTTGAATAAAATATTGATTCATTGAAGGACTTAATCGTTACTTGAATGAAATAAAAGTAAAACGCTAGAAGAGGGATCTAAAATTCTAGTTCAAAGACCACCAGAATAAAATTCATCTACAATTCTAGACTACAAACATAATTATAACAGAAGCATAATACCCTAAAAGCTAATAACTAGCTATGCTTCTATCGCTCAACCTCTTGGTTACCATCATCCCTAGAAGTAATTCTACCGTAAAGAACATGCAAATATGTAAGCTTTAAACCCTTGTCTTATTTTTTATTCTTCACTTATAACAGTTCTCAATGGTATGATTAGTTTTTTTTGAGTCTCTACTTAATTTTCTCATCTCCTTGGAATGCATAAGCTAGCTATGTATTCTTAGCAATGTTGGAACATTCAAACTTTAATTTTTACTCTTGTTATAAGAGATTGTCATATGTAGCTGTGATGTTGGTCCAAGTTTCACTACAACATTCGAGTCCTTTTATGCTCACAATAATATTCATTCAATTCTTCTAGAAACCTAATTTGGTACTCTATGCGCTATGCAGTCTTGAAGGTTTCAAGATTTGAACAAGGGTTGGATTTGTGGAAATTTGGATTGTTTGTATGTGGTTATTTTTCAAAAGCTCATTGCGGTCTTTATGGTGATCATCAGGAGGAAATAGCTCGAGGTGAAACAACAAACTCCATCTCCTGCTACATGAATGACAATGGAGTTAGCGAGGAGCAAGCTAGGCAACACATAGAATGTTTGATCGATGAAGCGTGGAAGAAGATGAACCAAGAGTTGTTTTTAATTGCGAAGGATATAGTTGGTTCAAATGCGTTCGTCAAATCTTTTCTACGATCAGCTATCAATTTAGCAAGGATGGCTCATTGCATTTATCAAAGCGGAGATAGCCATGGCACTCCAAATCTTGAATCGAAGAAGCAAGTCCTAGCCCTCATAGTTGAGCCCATCATAGGTTAAGTACACGAGTATGATTTCTCGTCGATCTCTTATGATATGTAGTTAATGTTATGTCTGAGTGATCTTGACTATTGAGATTGTATTGCTCCAATCTTTCATAATTGTATTGCTGTTATTCCTAATTCTAGTTTATAAGTATAGTTTACATCCCGTATTAAATAATCACTCGGTCTTGGGGCCGCACTTTGTTGCTTCAATGATTCACTCATGATTAGGAAAAACTTCTTAATAGCACTTTGTATTAATGAATGGGTCATTTGGTTGTTGGATTGTGGTGATGAATTTGTGTTACGAGAATCAAGCCATCGTAACTATTGGGCCTCGATTTGAGCTTGGTTATTTTATTGTTTACTATTTAGTATTTTATTTATTAATTGTCCTTTTTAGTAGTTTCCTTGTTTAAGTAGGATTTGGGTATTGTTAGTTATTTCCTTATAGGAGTAGAAGTCATGTTCTAGATAGGAGAAGGTAGAGGCTTCTATACCTATAAATATGTACTAGTTCATTGGTTTAATGTCATGTTAAAGATTGGAATTCATAAGTAGTTGTAGTTATCTTCGTTCCTCTTAATATTCTTTTCGTTTTAACTCTTTTTCTTACGAATATCTTTCAACATCGACGATGCACGTTACGTGAAGGTTTTCAACGAAGAAATACACGCTAACAATTGTTACATGAAGGTTCTCAACGGAGAAATACACGTGAAAATTGGTATCAGAGCCTGATTGCTCGAACGACTATCGTGATCCTGGAAGATGGCGCCAAAGAAACCTACTCAAGCATCGCCGACCAGCTAGCAATCAACAAGGAGCTCCTCCAGGGCCTCCTCCACGCAAAGCAAGACGCCACCGGGCGGATTAACGCGATCAGTCAACGTCCGCAATGAGTCGAGGAGGGCAGCAACTTCATTGCACGGAGTCAGGCATCCATGGTCCAGCAACTTCAGGATGGAATGGCACAGCAGCGGGCAGCCTTGTTGGAGATGATGACGCAGTTCATCACGAGCTCCGACGAGTCCGTTTCCCAGGCAACGTTCGACAGTGGGCGTCTCCACCAGTGAGGAGCTAACCGTAGCCGCTTCATCATCACCCGCTCTTGACGATGAGCTAGCCGTAGCTCACATTCGACCATCGATCACACCACCACCCATTGTCATAGTGACCTCGACTGCCGTAGCCGAGAAGTTCGTGATTCCTGCCGCAAACGAGGAGCTAACCGCAGATTCCTTGTCATCACGCATCGCGTCACCAATTTCACCAGCCGTTGCTGTCGAGCTCACCCCAGCTTCTCCCCCATCTACAATATGATATCAATTTTCAATATTTTTTGAGAATTTTTTTCATACCTTTCGTTACCAACTCCATACCATATGATATCTCTCCGATTTTTAGTCGTTTTCGAAAATTATTGCACAGAAGGAACGATATAATCATGATCTATTGGATTTCAAATCTTTTTGGGTGAATTTTTTTTCATACCTCTCGTTATAGGTGTCAATCGGGCGGGTTCGGGCTGGTTTCAATCGGGTTGCGGGTTCATCGGGTTTCAGGTTCATCGGGTTGCGGGTTTATCAGATTCGGGTTCATCGGGTTCGGGTTCAAACGGGTTGCGGGTTAGTCGGGTTGCGGGTTCATCGGGTTTGGGTTCAATCGGGTTGTGGGCAACTCTGGTTCGGGTTCAACGGGTTTTGGGTCGGGCGGATCGGGTTACGGGTTGTTCCGGTCAGCGCATCGAGTAACTTACTCCTAACTCATTACCAACTTACACATTTTATTACACTAATTTAAAATATTTTTCTCAATTTTTAACCAATTTCATTCTACCTCGCATATATACTTAATTAAAAAAATACTAGTCAAAATGTTGAATCAATTTTCATGACTTGCAAACTTGTTATGTAATTAATCGTAATTGGTAAATTACACTAGCTAATAGAAATGGTGATATCAGCATTTGCAACCAAAAGACACCATTAAATGTTTATTTGGTATTTTAGTATTATTTCAGTAGTAATTGTATTAAAGTATATCGTCTAATATAACCATGCAAATCTGGTATTTGGCGTGTGGTAAGCAGATAGGGCTAAACAAACCGAGCTGAGCTTTTACTTTGCTCCGGCTTCAAGCTCGACAAACAAAGCCTCAACTTCAACTAAGCTCAAGCTTGATACGAGCTACAAAATGTTAGCTCGAGCTCGACTCGATTAAAAAAATGTCTATTTGAACTCAATTTGAGCTCAACTATACGAGCCAAGTATTAAACTCGGCCCATATTCAGACACAAATTAAACTCCAGTTCAGCTTGAACTAACTAAAAGTCTGGGCTTTCTTTTCAGCCCAACCTAACAAGGCCTTAGCACTATAAGCACTACACCTTGATATGTCTATATGTCATGCCAGTCACTTTATTTTATAGGCATGGAAAAGCCACAATTTTCCATTCTCTCCGATGTGGTAATAAAGATCATAATGATGCTGTTATAAAATTTGGAGATGTAGCAGGAAAAAACGAATGACAATAATATAGCTGAACCTTACTAATACCTCGGATTGGGGATAATGGTTCCTATCGTACCATCCTCTGTTGTGATCACAACCTTACTAATAATTCACCTTCCCTCCATTTAAAATTGACAGCAGAGAATGAGTTGGTGTGTGGTGAGTAGCACACTTTACAGTTGCAGCAGCAAGGATAGTACTGTTTCCATTCTCGTTGGCCATTGGAGCATTCCCGTTAGGGAGCTTGGTGACTGCATTCATGACCATTGTGTTTGCAATTACCCTATGAAACTGGATGTACTACTAAGGATATGAATGAAATAATTGGTCGGAACAGAGTGATTGGCCGAAACTGATAACATGAGTGGTGTCGCAAGAGGCAGAATAGAGTAATTGGCCAGAACTGAACATGGAGGATAGAGAACTCGAGATTGACTACTGCGGAATTGTGTTCTTCGCTTGTGCTGCGGAATTGGAGTCATGCAGACACACATGTCAAAACAAATGAGAATGCGAAAGGTGGATGGACGGGCAATGTGGAAGTCACGATGATTATATATACTATAATGGGTGGTAATTATTATTAGGGTTATTAGTAATTGTAAGTTGTGATAGCAGACGAATGTTAAATTTAGTTCCTCTTTTCTCCTTTCATATATTAGAAACAAACACTTTTCCCTCTTCTTTCTCTTCCATAAAATTAAAAGAACCAAATTTCTCTCCTCTTTCTCTTTTATAAAATTGAAAAACCAAATTTCTCTCTTTCTTCCTTCCTTACACAAAAAGTTGAAAACCCAAAATTTCTCTCCTTATTCATCTTTCATAATCAAAAGAACCAAACTTTCCCACTTCTTTCTCTTCCCACATATCAAAACCATCAAAACTCCCCCTTGTTTCTTTTCTCAAAAATTCAAATAACCAAATTTCCCTCTTCTTTTAAAAGCATCAAATTACCAAATACATTACTTTACTTTATTTATATGTAATTGATAATTTTATTGAATAGTTAAATTAACCAAAATTTTAATTTATATATTATATTAATATTGTCCATGATCTCAATTATGAATTCTTCATTATTAATATTGACATTGTGATTTTATATTTGATATTTACTTTTTTAATTTTGTTAAAGAACTTAGTGTTTAAGTGACATTCATGTTTCAATTTTTGTAATTTTCTTAAAATACATAATATCACGTGAGTTTCATATTTTTTAAATCCCTTATACGAAATGAAAAATAAATTTTACATAAGTTTAGAATGAAAATTTTATTTTGAAAAACTATGTATTGTATAATATAATAATTATTCAAGTGGATTAGGTGAAGTTCGGGTTGAGTCGGTCGGTTACGGGTTAGTCGGGTTCGGATTGATCGGTTCGGGTTAATCGGGTTCGGGTTAATCGGGTTGCGGGTCAGTCGGGTTGCGGGTTAGTTGGGTGGCGGGTCAATCGGGTTGCAGGTCGGGCGGGTTGCGGGTTGTTGACTTTTAGTCAATTCGGGTTGCGGTCGGGTTGCGGGTCGGGTTAATCGAGCGGGTTAATCGGGTCGGGTTCTGTTTTGACACCTATACCTCTCGTTACCAACTCCATACCATACTATACCACCCTGGTGTGGGGTGGTATTTTTCGTACCATATGGTATGATGTTATTTAATACCAGTCAATACCATATGGTATAGACTAGTAATAACTGACAAATTTTTTTGTTCCAAAAAATATCAAAGTGGATATCATTTTGACGAACACAATTAATCTGATCTAACTGTGTAAAAAATATTAATTCCGAGTTAAAACGAGTAAGAAATCGTCCGTTAAAGATTAAGGGAAGGAAAATTAAAGGTTTTTCGAGGAGAGAGAAGGAGACGCTGATGTGGCAGATTCTTATTGGGTTATGCATGGGGTTATAACACCACAAGGTTACTCATCGGATCTACTCCCATCCCCGAAGATGCTAGAAGCCACACCGCCACAGTTCGCCCTTCTGTCTTCTGCCATTGTTATGGCCATGAAGGAAGTTAACCAGCCCACATCATCCGCCAAACCACCCGCCACCGAGGAACTCACGAACCCCTTGACCGATGAGGGCAAATCCAATTCCACAATCGCCAATGACGAGGAAGCCCTACCACGAGTTGTAGAGAAATAGGATTGCAGAACGATCTCCCGGCTCACTTAACAACCAGCGAAAACAAAGAACCTCACTAACAATGCTGGCCATGGTTCGCCAGGGGATAGGTGCGGAACCGAGAATGATATAGAATCCTGTAGTAGAACGACGAGTGGTCTGACATCCACCCCAATCTGCATCACAATAAGGCACTAGATCGAGCAATCCCTGTGAAGGAAAGAACAGTCCCTGACCCCGGGAAGACTTCAAGTAACGAAGAATGCGCATCGCAGCATCAAGATGCGCCTGAGTAGGTGTATTGAAAAACTGACAGAGTATGTTCACGCCATAGGTGATATCTGGTCACGTAACTGTGAGGTACTGCAGGCGA